GAAGCAATAGAACCTGAGGGGCAAGAAGGTAGCATTGTGATCATATATTAGAATTTCATCCTCCTAATCAAGTGCTCTATATAATAGTTTACTGGTTTCAAATGTATGTACCTGAAATTTGGTGACTGTGCTGCTCGCCCTGCTGTTGAAAGACCTCCCTTCTCAAGCTAGCAGAGGTGGTTTTGGAGCTAATGTTGGAGTCTCCATAGATTATAGTGCTGTGAAAAAAATTCACATCCACACTAAGACTGCCCTGTGAGAGTGGTTCAAAACTTCAGGTCTATTATGACAGCCATGGGACTCCCCCAAGTGGTTATTTGGCTCTACTCATACTGTTGGATCTCCTTTTTTGGTGGAGCAATGTGAGAGTTGATGAACTTCTGCAGGTCTGTTGTCATGGACAGCATGGTGGTAGTTTAGACTTACTGGAATTCAGAATCTGCAAGGTTCAAGCATCCATTAATAACTATCTGCCCCATTAGGTTTATGAATCTAGATGGATTTCTGGTTGGCTTCTGGGATGTGGAAATGGCCAAGCAATGTACATAATTGCTTCCAAGTATCTCCTCTCTCAGAGTGTAATCAACCCTATTCTGAGACCTTAAAGAGTGTTATCGGGTGTGATTTAATTGCTTAAGCTTTAAGCACACCTTTTATATATACAGAGCCTTGGTGATGATGCAACGCGTGAAATGGCATATCAAATGACGTTGACAGAAGAACTCAGAGTTCAGTAGCCATGCATATTAGGACCTATTCTATGGCAATACATGCAACAATGATAACTGTCTTTATTGTCTCTATTGACAATAGAGATATTGACTAGTTAGAAGGTGTCTAGAGGAGAGCACCTACAATAATCAAATGTCTGGAGACCATACCCTATGAGGAACGTCTTAAAGATCTTTTATTTAGCTCACATTAGCTGGCTCAGTTTTCCATTAAGTAAACATGGAGTACAATTAGGAAGGCATGAGAACTACAGGTATCTTTTTTTGCTTTTTCATTCTTCAGTTGCTCCCAGATATCCAGATATCTTTTCCAGGGTGTCCTCAGCCCAAGAATGTTGCCCCATCTGGAAGGAACTGTAGATTATCTAGCATCAAGTTCAGCAGGGAAGAGGTTTGAATACCAGCTGTCTTTTCAAGGATGTTAGTTCAGTAGAAGAAAAGAGGGCCATACAATTTTTTCTAAAAACTACAACTTAGCAGCCAAGATTTCAGCTCAGGCAAAAAATATCAGTAGCCCATTGAGCAAGACAGCATCTTATTTCCTCCCACTTGGGAATCTGCTTACAGTCTTCTTTCTGTTTAGATTCCAGCAGCCCAGGGAAGAACCAGTTAGATGTTTAAAGTTAGCCAGATGTTGGCTATCAAAAACTTGGTACATAAAAGTATCTTCCCTCCCTCTTGTATAGTTGACATTAATCTTCTAAATTGCAATGCCAGTGCAATAGTCACTCTGATTCTGAAGCTAAACTTTTGCTGTCCTTTCATTTCCTGGATTTGTGCAGCCTGACCAGATGAACTCCACTCTAGTATTCTGATTAGTGAATTTTGCATCAATTTCTATAGCAGCCTCCCCCCCCCTCTCTCTCTCTCACACACACACACACACATCCAAATGATTTTGCTTTCGGATCTTCTGGTTTTTAAAAACGTGTATATCATGTCACATATTACAAGATCAGGGTCAATGTCATGACTTCCTTGTTAATTTGATAACCATGGTGTTCTCTGAACATTCATTTTGTCTGTTGTGCAAGAGGCTTCAGAATGAAAACTTGCTGTCATTAATCATGGAAAGTTATAACCACCTGTACAGTTCCTAGATGACGTGGGTTGCAGTTTTGCTGTTTTGGAGGTATCTCTTGGACTGTTTCAGACCGAAGGAAGCCCTTTGACAAAGAAGTAAACACAACACTAAATGACAAGCTATGTGTGTATGGGGAAAATTAATATTTTCAAAAAGAAAAGAAAAATTAGGGTGGGGGAGTTGCATGCAGTCAGTGAGATGCACTTTTCTTTGTACCAATGTATACAATAAGAGGGGTAATGGCAATTTCCACATTCCAATAACAGTAAGATATCCCAGTTCAGCTTGTATTATGTATGGGTTAGGGACGAGTGCAGTCATATGATGTGAATGCAGACCCTGCTCGACTCTCTGGGGTAGTAGTTCACAACTTGTGAGTCCCCAGGTTTTTTGGCCTACAACTCCCAGAAATCCCAACCAGTTTACCAGGGGGTGAAAGGGACCCACAGATTGAGAACTACTGCTATGGGGGAGAGAATAACGTTTTTAAAAAGGATTATAATCAAAACTAAGAACATCCAGTCAGTATTCTCTTCACCTCAAAGCCTTTATATATACTTCCCACCAAAATCATTAACAGCTTTTTTTTTGAGTAATTGACACAGCATTCAAAATTTCTCAGTCAAGCAAATATTGCTTAAGTACTTTAGCTCTTCTTTCTAGAAACCCTTTTATCACTGTATTATCTTATAGTCCAGTGGCTGATTGTGTTTTTAAATTCAGAGTTAAAAATACTTCTGGAACCATGCCACTCATTTATGAGCAATAGAACCACTCTGAGTAAAATATTTGGGTCAGTAGCTTATTCTTCTCCCTGGCTGTTGGAGTCAGAGTTATGCATTTGATTCTTCCACTTTCTGTACAAGAACATGAAATGCATAACTTATGTTAGCAATTATTGAATGTTCATGAATTCTTTAGTTTTCCAGTGATTGCAATCCTTAAATCGGAAGAAAACTTTCCAAATACTTTGGAAAAATGAGAAGTATTTTGAGAAATGTTTCATGTTATTAAAACCTTCTGTGTTAAAACAGTTCTCAATTTCTACAATGTAGAGTGTTACCAGTGAGTAAGTGCCAAGTTGCGTAGGCTCTGTGCTGAAAAACAGCAACTCATTTATAAACATCGTATCTTTGAAACATACATAGGAGTAGGCATTTAAGAAGTGAATTGGGAATTACTTGGAAGGTCACTGGAAATTACTTGCAGTGTCTCTGTGATGTATAAGGATCTCCTTTATGTAATGTGATGGTACATTTGACTGTCTTCGGTGTCTGCCAGGAGCCCCCGATGGTGCAGTGGGTTAAACCCCTATGCCGGCAGGACTGAAGACTGACAGGTCGTAGGTTCGAATCTGAGGAGAGCACGGATGAGCTCCCTCTATCAGCTCCAGCTCCTCATGTGGGGACATGAGAGAAGCCTCCCACAAGGATGGTAACACATCAAAACATCCGGGCATCCCCTGGGCAACGTCCTTGCAGATGGCCAATTCTCTCATACCAGAAGCGACTTGCAGTTTCTCGAGTCACTCCTGACACGACAAAAAAAAAATCAGTGTCTGCCAAATAAACAAACAGTGTAATTGAAAAATCAGGTTTTAAAACCAAAGAAATACTTATTCATTTAAAGTATAATTAGCCTATAAAACATATCCTCTAAAAGTTTAGGATGACCAAAAGCATGAATTGTTCTTTTAAAAATAATAATAAATAGGAATTTCTCTAATCATGTGCACTGGTCATAAAAGCTTCTTGTCAAGAAAGTGTATTCTTTGAAGTACTACATAAAAGTAGTAGTGATAGGGGTTAGCAATTCCAGTTGTGACTTGCTTTATAAACTTGCTTAAGGCATAAAACCATTAGACAACAGACATTTGAGTAAGATGTTCCATTTTTAACCTGGCCCAACATATTGCTCTTTTACATTCCATGAGATCCATGTACCTTTTCTCTAACATGTAATTACAATCCTCTAGCAACATAGAGTCTTTAAGCCAACTCATGCCCTTGAAGAAATGCCAGTACAATCACAGCCGCACCCAGATTCCCTTTTCTGCTGTCTGCCAGAAAAGGGCACTTTGAGTAGCCAACGGAGGAGAGCAAGAAATAGTAGAAGTAGGAGCTCTGGCAGTGGCAACAGCAAAGAAATTGTTTTGAGGAAAGCTTTACAAAGTAGGAATACCATTTTGCCCACTGCTTGATAAAATTTCCTCAGAACACTTGCCAAGCAAATAGGGTGACCAAATCAAGTTTTGCAGTTAATATTGATTTATAATAGTGGGCATCTAAACAGGTAAGACCTTGAATCCAAGGGACCAGTCACTGGTAATCAGGTTTGAGTAAATGATGGGTTTTGAATAAAATCTAAATCTATAATAACACTTGCTTTATATGAATTTTCCTTCACTATTCCACGGTCTGTTGATATTTCTTTGTTATTCCTCTAAACATTTTAGTGGATTTGTTGTAGTTACTACTTCATTTCCGGAATTCTACATAGTGAGGTACCTCACAGAAGGTGATTGGTTGGTAGAAAATTGGGACCCTTGGTCTACTCCTAAAATCATTCTTTATAGAATGTCAAAGAAAGAATATTGGCTAAGTGTATTTTAGGCTTCCGTTACACTTAACACTGAATGGTGATACCCAACAATTTCCTGTTAATTTGCTTCAGTCTGAACTGGGAGCACTTTATGGAAATCACATTTGTGGGCATAATTTCAGATTTACTTATATAGTCAGCCCTCCATATTTGTAGATTTGATTATTTGCCGTTTTTCTTAAAATGTTCTGCTAGGAATCTCTAGGTCATGCAGTGTGAGAGCATTTCTCAGGGGATTTTTAGATGCTCCAGTGAGATTTTGTGGTTACCTTCCAGAAGAAGATTTGTGGGTTTTTAAAATTATTTTTGGCATTTTACTTTCCCAGTCATTCTGGGTCCTTAAGTCCAGTGAATGCATTAATATTGTCTTCTCTAGTTGTTTTATAAGATCTAGAGTTGTGATATGTGTAGAAGTGATTTTGATTGGTAGAGGCAGTGAATTACTCTTTAAATTTCAGTTAAGACTCACAATTAAAAAAAATGTACTTTGCATTTGAGTATAAGATTGTTTTTTGGAGCAAAAATGTGAAATATATTGAAAGAATCATCCATTTTTATTGGGCTTTTCTTTTTTTCTTTTTCAGGTATATACTTACAAACAGAGATCCATTACACACCAAAAAGTTACAACTATGCAGCCTACAAGCACAGAAGGCCTGGAAGACATGGCAGCACTGATAGACCTCCATGAGGGTGCCATAATGCACAACCTATTCCAGCGTTATCAGCAAGACAAAATTTATGTAAGTTTGGTTTAAACAATGCTTAGTGAATATTTTGGAGTATGGAATGAATACTCTGCATGGCTAATAATTTCTCCAGATTTGAACATTGTACATGAAGAAGGAGGGAAAGATGGTGGTGTTGGACTAATTATAGTATTAATCCCAATTAGAGTAAACTGTCAAAATGAATGAGATTGGTTGGTAAATTTAGTCTATTTTGAGTCTCTTATAGATAGAATTAAGAATGCATGTAATCATTGGATTTTAAAAACCAGAATAGTTGCTTCAAAGGTTGTATGTAAGTTGCATGATCTGATGCCAAGAAGTAGATGAAATATCCCACCTTCAAGCCATATGATGTCACACAGTCTTGCTTGCTCCTGGGTACTGAGCTAAGTCCCATATTTACTTGAGTCTAATGCATCATCAAATGTAATGCACATCCTTAAAAAATTGCTGGGAAATGCAGTGCACCAGCAAATATTATTGTTTATTGCCTATTACCCGTTCAGCTGCATGCCACCCTGATACAACCTTACCTGCAGTATTGGGCTTGTTGTACCATTGAATCTAATGTGCACCCTAATTTGGGTAATGTTTTTTAGCCAAAAAGGTGGGCATTAGACTTGAGGAAATATATTAAGTAATTAAAACTGGCATCTAAGTCTGTATTGGGTCAGCAATGATTAATGAAAACATTCGGAAAATAAATCACAACATCCAAAAAAAAAGGGGGGGATTATGTTAGAAGGACATATGGGTGTCTTCGTGCCTGTGCAAAAACCCTCTTTGGAAATTTGTAGTGCTATACGTCATGCTGGCCACATGACCTTGGAGGTGTCTACGGACAACGCTGGCTCTTCAGCTTAGAAATGGAGATGAGCACCACACCCCAGAGTCAGACATGACTGGACTTAATGTCAGGGGACTACTTTTACCTATACCTCTTCAGTTGGGGTCCCTGATTATCTCCTCTGGAACAGTTCCTGCTTCAACTTCCTCAGTTTTTATTTTGTTCGCCATTGCAGCTACATCATGGGGAACTTCATATATTTGCTACTAGGCTTTGCAGTCTTTAAGAAGAGCTTGAAGACCTGGCTGTTCCGGTGTGCCTTTCCAGAATAGGAAACTCCTAGCATCATGTCCCAAATGCACTTTATTAGAGATTTAAGATTGTCTGCACACCGCTCCTACCTCTAAAAACCTTACACTCCACCTGTCATGTCCAGCACTTTTAAATGTTATTCATTACATTGGCACAGCCTAGTTTTAAATGCGTCATGGTGTTATTGTATTTTATGTTTATTGTTATTGCTTTAATGTTTATTGTTTTGCTTTATGAGTTTTATTGTTGTATTTGTTATGCTGTTGTTTTATTGTGTGCCTTAGCCTTTATAAGCCGCACCGAGTCCTTTGGGAGATGTTAGCGAGGTATAAATAAAGTTAATAATAATAATAATTAATAAATAAACCATGTCCTGGCTTTTGGTGGAGGCTGGTCTGTTTTTTGAAAGCCTTCCAAAATTGGGAGGGCAGATATCAGTTTTTGCTATGGGGATGCCGAAAGATCCATTTTCTATTGGCCCATTATGGGGAGGGAGTTCCCAGTCTCCTCGTCATTTTAGGCATTTATTTAAACTGTTTCTTACTCTAGAGGATAGGCGCTCAGCTGCAGACAGGCACATGCTTTAAGGAGGCGTCTTCTTACCTGTTCTACTCTAGAGGTGTTCGGCTGTAGGCAGTTGTGCACACTTTCTGAGCCAGTATACCACACACACACTCTTTCCAAGTCAAGGAAGCAAGTTCTGTTTCTTACTCCAGTTGGTGTTAGTTCTGACATTATGAGGTCAGCACTATCTGTGTTTAGTTTACCTGTTCCTATTCTGGAATTCGAAGAGGAGGAGGAGGAATTATATGTTGAGGTCAGTAGTGTGTCACTGCTTGCCTAACACACTGCTTCTTAAACTATGGGTCATGACCTCAAATGGAGCCCCCTTAGCATAATACAGGGTCCAGAAAAATTGGGCAACAATAAAAGGTTTCTGGGTATCATCATGTGGTTGTTTTAGACATTTACAGTAACCTGTTGTGCAGTGTTTACAGTGAATTCTGCAGAATATGCTTCAGCTGTGCTTCATAAAAAGGATAATCATCCTGTTTAGCAAGCCTTGCAAATACTGATCCCACCCGGGGTCACATAACCATTTTAAGGGCCAGAAGGGGTCACAAGTGGAAAGGTTTAAGATGCCCTGGCATAGCACACTCATCAACATCATCCTCTTCTCCCACCTCTACCAATATGACGGCATTGCAATAACTATTGTGAAATACAATGGCACACTGGGAAGTTTGTGTCTTCATTTTCATTTTGGATGGTGTCCTTAAAGCTATACTGCCATCATTGCATTCATGTGACAGCTTTCAACAAACTCTGGTGGTGCCTTGACCAGTTATGATTAAAGGAGACTGTTATTTGATATAGTTCATCTGAAGCAAGGCAAAAGAAATACAGTGAAATGGCCATTTGAAGGCTATAATTTTTGAGTATTCAAAAGCTCAAATCCAAAATTAGATTTGCCTGTGGTATGTTGGTTTTGTATCTTCTTTTATCAAAGGGATGGGAACATGTCCCTAAGTTTTGTAGAAATGATCCTTTCTTGGGACCGTTTGAGCTTACATGGAAAGTTTTGAGAAAGAAACCTTAAAACCACGTAAGTACATATGTGATGTAGCTAAAAGCAAGGGCATTTAAATTATGGTGTTGGAGTTGGCTTTGACTGGATTTGCCTCCCACACATCTCAGACAGTTAACTTTTTCTGGCAAATGTAAGCCAAAAAGAGGTCAAAACAGAATGAAAGGGAGCTATTTAAGAACGGTGAGGGAGAGCTAAAAATAAACCATTAAATAAATACGTAAACTCACATGAATCCTCTGTGATTTAGTACTGAAAGCATTCCCATTAACACATGTGCTCTTTTCAGCATAACGAAGAAATTTGTTCAGTGTTTTTTTTTCCCCTTCCAGAATGTGCTCTAAAGTAGTTAGATCTTATTTTGCTTGTGGGTATACTTCAAGGGCTTCCAAAAGCACGTGGTGGTGATTCACGTACCAGAAATGACTTAGTTCTCTCAGTCAGCATTAATATTATAGGTCAGTTTTGATTATGACATTTACTCAGTAGGGATATTATTTGGGAGAGATCATCCGGAGTTTCGGGGTGCGGTGACATCTGTACGCAGATGATGTCCAACTCTGTTACTCCTTTTCACCTGCTACTAAGGAGGTTGTTCAGGTTCTGAACCGGTGCTTGGCCACTGTAACGGACTGGATGAGGGACAACAGATTGAAACTAAATCCAGACAAGACAGAGGTACTCCTGGTCAGTCGAAAGGCCGAACAGGGCATAGGGTTACAGCCTGTGCTTGACGGGTCACACTCCCCCTGAAGACGCAGGTTCGCAGCTTGGGAGTGATCCTGGACTCATCGCTGAGCCTGGAACCCCAGGTCTCGGCGGTGGTCAGGTGAGCTTTTGCACAATTAAAGCTTGTGCGCCAGCTGCGCCCGTACCTTGGGAAGTCTGACTTGGCCACGGTGGTCCATGCTCTGGTTACATCCTGTTAGACTACTGCAACGCTCTCTACGTGGGGTTGCCTCTGAAGACTGCCCGGAAGCTTCAATTAGTCCAACGAGCGGCAGCCAGATTGCTAACAGGAGCGGGGTACAGAGATCATACGACCCCTCTGTTACGCCAGCTCCACTGGCTGCCGATTTAAAGTGCTGGTTTTGATCTATAAAGCCCTAAACGACTCCGGCCCAGTTTACCTGTCCGAACGGATTCTCCCCTATGAACCATCAAGGTTATTAAGCTCTTCCGGAGGGGCCCTGCTCTCGGTTCCACCACCTTCGCAATCACGTTTGGTGGGGACAAGGGACAGGGCCTTCTCGGTGGTGGCTCCTCTGCTTTGGAACTCCCTCCCACTAGAGATTAGATCTGCTCCCTCCCTCCTGACCTTCAGGAAACTAACAAAGACCTGGCTTTGGAACGTGGTATTTGAGGACTGAGTCTATAACCTTCGTCCACATGGGAGAAAGATGATGAACTGTGACTTTATTGACGACTTGGCTTGTGTAATGTGATGATGATGTTTTTATTGTACTTATATTTTAATGTGTAATGATGATGCACTGTGTTGTTTTTGTATATTATTGTATATGAATACATGTTGTGAATCGGCCTGAGTCCCTCCTTCGAGGTGAGAAGACCATTATATAAAACTTCTAAATAAAGAAATAAAGAAATATTTTGCAATTGGTGAATGGGAAAACTTTTGAATAATTTAAATCTCCTCTGTCTTTCTTTTGATAGCAAACCAATATCCTACATTTCTTTGCATGCCTATTTTATGCTGCTGAGTTAGCTGAAATAACAAGTTTATAAGAAACTAAATGGACTGAACATCTATATCAGTGGTTCTCAACCTGGGGTCCCCAGATGTTTTTGGCCTACAACTCCCAGAAATCCTAACAGCTGTTAAAATAGCTGGGATTTCTGGGAGTTGTAGGCCAAAAACATCTGGGGACCCCAGGTTGAGAACCACTGATCTATATCATTCTTGTCTCTTAAGATGTATCCTAAGAACACAATAAGGGAGCCGCCTCTTAAACAACATTCAGTCCTGATTAATATCTTTGGATGGGACACCACCAACGAATACCAGTTGCTGCAGCCTTTATTTTAGAGCAGTGGTTCTCAACATGTGGGTCCCCAGATGTTTGGGCCTTCAACACCCAGAAATCCTTACAGCTGGTAAACTGGTTGGGATTTCTTGGAGTTGTAGGGCAAAACACCTGGGGACACACAGGTTGAGAAGCACTGTTTTAGAGGAAGGTACTGGCAAAACCACCTCTGAGTATTCGTTGCCTAAGAAAACTCTATGAAATCCGTGGGGTTGCTGTCAGTTAACAGGTAACTTGAAGGTGCATATGCATGAATACACACAATACATATTTTTTCCCT